CTTTATTACTTCACTTCACTAAATGCAGTAACATGGTGAATGTGTATGAATATGGACTACACACTACTAAAACAGACCTTGCAAGGTTACAGCAAAGATTTACAGCTAGATAACTGCATGAAGTTTATGTAAAAAACAAGTGATTGGAATGAATTCTGAGTAGATTCTTTCCTGTGAATATTGCATCAGAGAGTTTTCCTGATACTTTAAGGAAGTTGTTATACAATTCTCTGCCTGCATTGTGCTTTATTTTTTTAACAATCATACATACAACCTAAACTATCTAAACTTACAGAAAATAACAATATAATTTAGCTTTCTTTACAGAAATTAATGAAATGCTGAGATATAGGCCTAATGTGCATAAGTTTTCTTACACCCCTTAAAATCAAGAAGACCTCCTGACCCCTTGTGAACCTTTGGCGACCCCTAGTGGGGGTTCCGACCCCCAGGTTGGGAACCACTAGCTTAAAGGAATCGACTTGTTCATGACGACACAACTAATATTCATGGTTCCCAGGTGCATAATTTTAATGAACTTGCAGGATTCCCAAGCCTCCTGGAAAATCTGTTATGTAATTAATGTAACTAATTACTTTGCTGAAATATGTATTAATTAGTAATTGATTACATTCTGCAAATGCCCACATCATTCAAACTCTCATTTTGTTACAGATTTGTAGTCTGATATAGGAAGTGGATCCATCCATCCATCCGTTGAGGCTAATATTGCATTACAATATTATGTGCAATGTGTATCCTATAATAATACATTGAATCTGATTTTGAGCTGGTGGTGGTTGTACATCTGGGCAAAGAAAACCAGAGGGTTGTGATCAGTGTACACAGTTACTGCCATTACATTTGGTGGCGTTTGAAGTTGGTTGAAAAGTAGCACACAGGATGTCACACACCGACCTGCAACAGCACAGCTCCAGCTTCAGAGGCACTAGCATCCACTTTAAACTTGAAGGGAAGAGAAAAGTTAGGAGGTGACAAGACAGGAGCGCTGCACAGGAGGGACAGGGACAGAGCAGCATCAAAGGCATGGCCACAATCATTAGTCCACACAAATAGAACAGCTGGACTACACAGTTAAGTAAGAGAATCCACCTCAACAGAGAAGTTCTTACAGAAACATCTGTAATAACCATTCATACTTGGAGCTCACGCCTAGTGGTAGGAAGTTGATAAGAAAACACAGCAGCCAACTGGACGAACCTGCCCATGACCTACCGACAACCTATTTCCCTAGGTAAGTGATGGTGACCATACCGAACTCCCACTCACAGTGAGGTTAAGTCTTATCGATGTCTCAGCAAGCTGCTGGAACACTACTCTCAGGCTAGACATATGACTCTCCCAGTCATCCGAGTACACAACAACGTTGTCAAGGTACACATTGCAATGGGGCACATCCCCTAACACTGCATGCATGAGGCGCTGGAAGTGGTGCATTTCTAATGCCAAATGCCATCACGGTGTACTGCATGAAATGGCCAGGTATTACAAAGGCTGAAATGTCAGATGCTCTGGATGTTAAAGGAACCTGTGATGAACACAGCAGGACCGATATCAATACTATCATGCAGGGGAAGCGGAAACAAGTCTGGCACAGTAACTGCATTGACTTTACAGAAATCTGTGCAAAAACGAGGGGTACCTTCAGATTTGTGAGCCAGCAAACAGGGGGACCTCCAAGGGCTACGACTGGGGTTGGCTTAACCATTTTCTAGCAGAAAGCTTATAGCTTTTGCATGTTGCTTGATTGGGGTAGAAGAAGCAATGTCGATGTCATGCTCTAACACACTAATATGTGACGGCACATAACTAAACAGCATGGGGTATGAGTGGAACAGACTGAGCATGTCACCTCAGTGGACTTAAGTAAGGTGGGAGAGATGTGACTCCACACTGGACAAAAACTCAGTTAGATCCTGCCACACGGGTGACCATCTGAAAATGCTGCCAAACCATCATCAAGCATGGGCACCCTGCAAACCATGGAAGCAGAGGTTGCGTCTGGAGCAGCCAACTCCAGTGCCTTTTCACTTCCTCTGAGCAGCTTCTCTGGAAATGTTAAATGTTGTCTTTAAAATGTTAATATGATGCAACTGTTTTTTTTTCTTATGCGTTCAGGTGTATTGATGACATAATCTGTATCTGACACTGTGTTTTCCACTACATAAGGGACTATAAAACAGACAGTGAGAGCAGATCCAGGCATTGGCAATAAAGCAAGCACTTTATCACCAGGCTGAACCATACCACATATACACATATACACCACACATACCTCTTTCTGTGAGGATGAGAGGGCCTCCTTTACTAATGATGTTGCGAGATGCAAACGCTCCCTGCACTGTAAAACAAAGTCCAACACATTAGTCTTTGATGAGGTGCCAGACATAAACTGCTCCTTCAACACCTTCAGTAGCCCCCACACTTGTGACTAAACACAAGTTTAGCGGGACTGAACCCCAGGGACTCCTGCTTTGGATCACAAATGGCAAAAAGAACAAATGGCACACCCCCAATTATTCCTGTGTCATGACAGTACTTGGTGCCAGCGCTCAAGCAAACCTTGTGACTCTGAATTGTATGTGGTTGACACTGAATGAGAAATATCTTTAACATCTGCTTGAAGGTTTTAGACAGGAAATTTGTTCCCTGATCAGTTTGGACCATTTTTGGTAGCCCAAAGGTGGTGAAGAATTTTGTCAGCGCTTTAGTGATTTTTCTTCAGGGATTCGGGAAAACAGCTGGAAACACACATCACAATCAAAAGAAACTGGTTAACAGGCTTTGTTCTGGGCAACGGTCCAACACAGTCTACAATAACATGCTCAAACGGCTCACCAACAGCACCAACTGGGCGCAGTGGGGCAGGATGCACAACCTGGTTTGGTTTACCCACAATCTGACATTGGTCAGGTTTCTGCAGGTTTTACAGAAATGCACAACATTGGCTTTCATTCCAGGCCAGAAGAAATGTTTTAGGATTCAGTCATCGGTGCTATGATAAATCACATGGGTACCATTTGTTGGTAAGACAGTAGTTTAAAGGTGCACCAAACTATGTTGGTGCAATCAATTCATTTTGGCTAACCAAAAATAGAAAATGACTAATATTAAAGATCCTCGGGGCACAACACCTAAATGGGCGGCTGTGGCTCAGAGGCAGAGCGGGTCTGTAATCGGAAGGTTGTTGGTTCAATCCCCAGCTCCTCCTGCCACATGTCTAAGCATCCTTGAGCAAGATACTGAACGTCAAATTGCTCCTGATGCTGCACATTGGTGTGTGAATGTGTATGAATGAGTTAGTTTCTGTTCGATGGGCTTTACCATCGCTGAGTGAATGTGTGTGAAAGGGTGAATGTGGCACGTAGTGTAAAAGCGCTTTGAGTGGTCGGAAGACTAGAAAGGCACTATACAAGTACAGGTCCATTTACCATTTAAATGAGGGAAATGATAGCCAATAATTGATTGATTGAGTCTCATAAAAAACACTAAACTATTAATTCAGAAATCGGATTAATAATTAAATTAATAACTATAACCAAAATCAATATTATTAGTTAAAGTGGAAGGATTTTGAGTTCTGCATTGAAGAGGTTGGTATCACCCACTCTTGTACGAAATTAAATAGGCCAGCATGTAAAAACACAAGCATTTATTAATGAGATATAATAAAAGCAAACAGAGCAAAATACACTATGATGACCTCTTGTTTCAGCTGAGCATGAGACACACATTGGTTAGAAACAAAGGACATGGAGGAGCCGGAGGGTTTGATTTCCCTCTCCTCGTGTGTGTGCTGAGGTTTGAGCCGTTAACCCCGTTAGGTTATCTGAAACTGTCTATGCCCAGTACGTTACCAACAGTCCGTACAGGAGGGAGGAAGAAGAGTTGCCGGTGTGACGATGTGATTAAGCCTTAAAGGAGCATTTCACCTGTGGAAACATTAATATTTATTGAAAGTGGGTTATATATGTAGTCGAAATGTAACATACATTTTGAATTTGGTGCCTATTTGACCGAGAAAAGTCAGAAAGTGACTTTAGGGCGCATTTGTAATAAAGACAACTCCCACAATGCACAGCTCCGCAAGCCGCTCCCACTAACACTATCAAGGACTACAACAATGTGAATGTGAACCATTTATTTACAGAAATATATCAACAACAACAAAAATAAATATGTTAACATTGACAGTTATAGTTCCTCCTGAGCGTCCTCAACGTCTCGGTGCCACAGTACTGGCCATCTGGAGCTGGATATTTCTGTCAGATAGCCTGCACCACATCAGCGGGTAAAACAACACGATGGCCTCGACCCAATCTCTCGCCTTGCAGGACCCATTCCAGAAAGGCTGTTAGGCGATATTGTCTACAAGACATTGAGCACACAGTTAGCGATGCATGGTCTTTGTGTTTAGCGTGCCACAGTAGTTAGCAATGCAACTGCAAGCTGTTTGTGCAGTAAAGAAGTTAACGTTAGTTCAGTTGGCTGACGTTACGTATTAACCGGGAATAACTTTGTGATAATACTTGAACAAATTGTGTACATACATGCCACGTTGTTATAAGACAGAAAATAGAAACACTCACTTTACAGTCAGACGTCCGTGTGTCCGTAGGCGCACAGTGAGAGCACAGGCACCAGCAGTCCGCCACAGCTCGAGCCAGTCCGGGCTCCTCGTCCGCGACAGGCAGGTCCTCTGCCTCGGCTGCAGAAGCCTCAGACGCTGCTCACTATATTGCGGCTCATAAAGGTAGCCACGAACATCTGATTCGACCATCATACTTTAGAAATTTCTTCCATATTACATTGATTACCATAGTCAGCCTACCTATAATGTAAAAAAACCCAGAAAGGCAGAGGTACATTTTTGTCCTCCGTATCCTGCTGGAGAGACCGAGGACAGCCTTGAAGGGGAAAGATTGGCATTGTTATCCCAAGTAAAGAAGAGGCATAATGATAAAGTTGTCAAAGAGAAGATGGCCAAGACTTTTTCGTACAGGAGGCAGGAGGTTGTCAGAGACAAGCCCCTGATTGCAGAGTTCAAGCTCAGATGGCCAGGACCATTCACTGTGGCCGAGGTATGAAATACTTCCTAAAGTATTTATAATCAATATTTTTTTCTCTTAGTACTTCAGGCAGTTACAGGGTTGAACTGAATCTATAAATAAATAAATGTGTTACTTTAGGATGCAATTTTAGTAGGTACCAATAACATATTGTTTTTGTGGACATGATGTTTTCAGGTGGAAGCTGAATTTATGAGGATTATTACTGCTCCCCTTGTCTCAAAGTTCCTTCCTCAGCTTGACCAACACACTGAACAGCTCATCAAAGTGTTCAAGAAGAAGGGAGACTCTGCAGGGAGGAAAATGACCTTAATGTGGCCTGGTCAAGAATGATGAGACCGAACACAAATACAATTATTTTTGTGGGTTTTTATTCCCCGACTGAGCTTAATGAAGAACAGCGTTAATACTGTATTTTTGAGGATTTGGGACAGTTATAGTTACAACAAAACAAAATGAGTACTCTTCCCTATTTCCTTGTCTGACAACAACCATCAGCTTTAACAGTTCTCCTTAGCACTTGATGAACAATAGTGTATGTAGGCTACCCACAGTAACCAGGCTCAAACTCATACCGCTCAACTTCATTAAACTGAACTTCAGACATTAGCTAATTCTAGACAACAGTAGTGGCACCTCTCTAAATAAAGAGAAATAAAAACATTTGTTAAGTACATTTGTTAAGTCACTTCAAAATAAAATACTTAATTCAATGGGAAACATAAAAATACATTCTTAACAAAATATTCTCTTACAAACATTTTTACAATTCAGAAACAATTTTCAGAAAAATACAATTAACTCACTTTCACTCCAGTGTGCAGCCTGCGCTCCAAGACACACACACCTGGAATTCTACACGCATATATCTCCCCTCTAAATTAGGCAGAAAAGATACAAATGGACATAGCTTATTTAAACAGTCAGCATACATTGTAATGAGATAATTCTGTTTATACATGTACTTTAGCATTACTCACACTAACCCCGCTGTTCAGTGTTGCCCTCAGCGTGGCGGAGATTCATACACAAAACTCATTTACAGATCTACAGAAATCGTACATTAATCAACCTTAAGTCTTCTAACTTAATCATTATCTCATCTGCTGACACTTGTAACCATTTTCATATTTTACCGAAATTTATATGGATATTTATCTTACACATAAACAAAAATTCACACCAGGGCAGTCAGTCACCTCCTGGTACTGCCACTTCTCCCAAAACTATGCGCTCACGCGCGATTTGCCTTTTGCGCTACTAATCACATAACAATGCCCCCTTGAGGGAAAAAGAACGCTACTGCAGTACTAATCCCACAAGCAAACTACAAAACACTTTTTAAGGAGAAAACCCCTGTGTAACCCTTGTTCACCTGGCTACATTAACTTTGGCCCCAGTCGCAGAGGTGTGTTTTGTTATTAGTGGAAACATTTATGGAATTAAAAGTTGATGACTAGTCTGTTTTGACAGGCTCTGTTATTAGATTTATCCATTAGTTAGTGTAATTTAGAGTTGAAAAGTTAAGTTTTTTGGTTGTGGAAAGTGATTTTATTCACCGGGTTTCATTCCCTGCTTAATGGGGTTATCTATAAAGTGCTTGTTTGACAAGATGACTATTAATGTCTATGTGGTTAATTGGTCATTGTGTATAGGTCTATCTCTACAGTTGACATGTCATTCATTTCACACGCTTATAGAAATATGAGGTGTTGTATGTGAGTATTTGCAGTCCTAAAGTATTTCTGTATTTACTACATGGAGCAGAGGAAGAAATCAGTCAGGCCATTCTTACAGATCCCGACCCACCAGGTAAGTCCATATGTTGCTGATTTTCAGTTTGGTTTATGATAACTTTTTGTTGGATATGTTCTAGGTTCTATGTGTCTTATCATGTTTATTGGATTTGATGAGAGTCGGTAGAGATCTGAAGGTTATTAACTTGAGATTAAACTGGAGGACTCGGTTTGCAAACGCTAGCTATTTTAGCAATTAGCTTTACAACTAACGTCATATAAAAGTATTTTTCAGCTTAAAATTATAAAGGGGAAGTCTTGGTTAATGTTAATTATGGCCCCACGACACATTACGGAGGTCCGTTTTTTTTCCTTCTCTCTCTTTTTTTTTTTTATCGTTTCCGTGCAGGTCCGGTCAGCCAAGGTCCTTTTAAACAGTGCTAATGATGTTTTAGCCTGCCTATGGAGTTAATGTTATATGTACGTGTGCACAAGCATTAGAGGACTTCTTGACAAATGGCTTCATAATAAATGGTAGTGGGTTGAGACGCTAATTATTCTGTATGGGTCAAAGTTTTATATATATATATATATATTAAAATGATTTTTGCAATTTCCCAGCTTGGGATCAATAAAGTATATCTATCTATCTATCTATCTATCTATCTATCTATCTATCTATCTATCTATTTGAGTCTCTACAATAACTAATTAAAGTAATATTACTATGTAATAATTACTCCTATTCCTCTGCTATGCAGACTGGGTCCCACAAGATGCCACAGAACAGTTGGATGAACCCTCATCAGCCCCAGTTGAACCACCAATTGGACCAGTAGCTCCACCAGATCCCCAGCAAACACTGGCTCCACCTGATCCCCCAGCAGCCCCAACTGGACCACTAATGGCCCAACCAGACCCACCAGTAGCAGTGGCTACATTTTATCCCACAGCAACCTCGGCTACATCAGTGAAGTCCCTGACTAGGCCACCAGCAGCCCCAACTGGACCATCAACATCTGGACCCCATTCCTCAGTGGGAACTCCAGCAGCCCCAGTTTCTTTAGAAAAAGGTATGTAGGAAACAAATAACAAACCCCATAGTGTTACTTTGTGTAATGTGAAAATGTAAATACATTCTCAGCACCAGACATCCCATTGTGTTTAAGAATGGCAGAAATGGATATTAAAAAAAATAAGGATAGAAAAGAAAACAGGTTATTGGATTAAGCTGTTATCATTACATATCATACATCACGCCTGTATCTGTGATTCTCCAACTTTTTCTGACCTTCCCACCTTCAGAGGCCAGGGGCCTAGACTGTATTAGGACACTTAGGGCCCTATTTAGATGGGGCCCTATTTAGATTTCATGTAATTAATGTGGTTGTGGAGGATGTGACAGTTAAATGTTAAATATGAAGTACAACTATGGTGCTGTAGAGTCATCAACTTTGTATCAATTCCTTCACTGCGATAATGTTAGTCCAAAAGGAATGTACAATTAATTTAGTAATTCGGCTGCTAGAAATGTTTGTATTAGCCTGCTAAAGCCAGGTTATCCTTAAGGGGACAATTACCCCACAATGTTCACTGTGTGCTGCCATTAATCCCCAATGAAGAGCATCTTAATTATGAGCTTTCATGGTGAATTTATATTCCAAAATTATCATCTCTGATGCGATAGAAAAGCACTGGATCTATACATTTTTTTATTGTTTATGTTATTCAAACTGATGTAATATTAAGCACATTTTTTAATCATTATCACATATTTTATATCCTTTCCTGTAATAGATGACATTGTGGAAGAAGGCTGTTCAGCTCCCAGTGCAGTGCTGCGACGGAAGAGGAAAGGTGTGTCATAATGTCAATCCATAAATGTCAGAATATGGTTAAAAAATGTATGTATATAATTGTCATTGTTTGCGGAAAACAACAATGAAGTCATCAAATATTTTTTGTCCATAATAGTGTCAGAGCCCAGTCAGTACACGGTCATAGAGGAGTAAAGAAATTAAAACGTATTCACACCTGAGAGGCTAAAATCATAATGAAATAAATTAATACTTGATTAATGTAATAGTTGATTAATAGTTGATTAGTTGTTGTCACTCTAAATGAATGTGCTTATAGTTTGAATGCTCCACCTTTCATTTTAAATGTGTCCTGTAGTGTGGGATTTGCATTGGTCTAGTCTTGGTCATCACTTGGTCTCAGTTTAGATGTTCTTAAGTAAGAGCATTAGCTGACAGTGAATGAGACTGTAATCTTTTATTTTCCCCACTGGTCTCATTGCTACACATTTCCCTTAATTCATACAGTAAGTGTGTCCATTCTTTGTAAACAGACATGTCTATTAACACATGATTTTGGAGTGCTCTTGGTTGTAAATACAAAAAAAATATTTAAAAATACCCTAGTCTCTGCTGTGAAGTGCTCTACACTTCCATGAAACAGTAATTTGAATTGATTTTGATTGATTTGAGCATTGATTGCCAATATATTTATCCTATCACTCATCTCTATAGTCCATTGATTACAGTAATTTATGTAAAGAGCTTGCATGATGCATGCAAGCTCTTTACCAGAATAACTACAATAAAAAGTCCACCAGTCTCTAAAGGTTTAGTGTAGTATTAAGATTTTTTAAACTCATATTTACCCTTTCAGAATGCCCACATACAGTGAAGAGGGTTGCCAAATGCAAAGTTGTAAAGGTTCAATAATCCCACACAGTCAGAGTCATTCACCTGCTTCCGTAATCATAAGGAATTCAAAATGATAATATTTCTTTATGGGTTACTTCCTGTCTGTCATTGTTGGTTCTTCATATAGTGGAAAAGTCTATAAAAGCAACCTCTCAAGTTTTTTAGAAAGTCTCATGTTAGAGAATCTTCCAGTCAAAAAGTGCCGATAGTTTTTCTGTAATCTGTGTAATAATCCTGAAAACGTAGTCAAGACAGTGGTATAAGCCAAAGATTTTAACTTTTTTTTTTTTTTTTTAGGGACAAAAATTGAAGCTGGTGGAGTGGGAGCCGTGCAAACTCTGGTATGTATGACTTCTGATTTGTAGCACATGGCCAGTTAGAGTGATAACGAATCGCCATAGTTTACAGTTATGTTGTTTTCTCCTAATCTGCCTTCAGTCTTATTTGACACCAACACTGAGAACATTCACATGAACACCATTAATCTAGTCATGGCCAATACTGACTAAGTTATTATCCCCACACTAAACATTCAGTGCTGAAATAGCCTACATTATATAAAATATATTAGTCTAATAGGAGAAATGGGAAAAATAAATAAAGCCACGTAAGTTTAGTCCATGATTATCCACCCTGTGAATGTCATTGAATATAAAGAGGCTGCAGTTGTCTCAGTAAGAAATTCTAAAACATCTATCATGCTTTTCTGCTAACAGCACCATTGTACAGAAGTCAGAAAGAGGCTTATTTAAAAATGCTAAAATTGTCCATCACTGCATCACTGCCTTACTCTCACTTTATTAGTGGATGATTGGTGTACATGGTAACATGATTGTATATGATACATTTTTGTATATTCATTTAAAAGTTAAGTTTGTAGACATTCCCACCGAAAATGACACTTTGGTTTCTTACTTGAATCGAGGGTCTAAGGACAGAGGGTGTCACATTCTGTACAGATTGTAAAGCCCAACGAAACAAATGTAATTTGTGATTTTGGCCATATGACATCAAACACCAACACGGTGGCTTGGTGGTTAGCACTGTTGCCTCACAGCAAGATGGAGATTAGATTCTCCTGGGATCTTTCTGTGTGGAGCTTGCATGTTCTCCCTGTGTCTGCGTGGGTACTCTGGCTCCCTCCCACCGCATTTTGGGGATAGGTTAATCTCGGCCAAAAGATGCTGGGATATGCGCCAGCCCCACTGTGACCCCAACAGGGATAAGTGGAAGAGAATGGATACATGAGTGACTTGTGTGCACCCACAATGTGTTCTTCTACAACCATTTCTTGACTATTAATTTACTGTCCATTTCATTAAAATCCACTACGATACAACTATTGGAAAACAGTCACAGGGGTCTAATGTGAGTCTTAATATGTCTGACTATGCATTTGCATAACCAAACATAACATCAGTTGCTTTCTTTTTTGTGTTACAGTGGAAAGGACTGGCCTTTGGAGTGGGTGCCGGAGAAAGACACCACTTTCTAATGTTGCCAAAGTGCAGAACGGACTGCAGTGCCCTTGTGTTTGTCATGTTGTTTTATTTGTTTGTTCTTCACTGTCGCCAATTATTGCCACTTGAAGCAATGAGTGTTCATTTGCAGTACTTTTTAATAAATAATACCAAATGAAGTCTTCTTAAATATCACTGGTACATTGCTCTTCGAGATAATACTATGGGAAGGCTGGCTCTGTAATTGGAGCCAATATGGATTCAGGGGGATGTGGTGGAGAGATACACAATGAAGACGATGGAGGCCATCCTGAACAACACGGCTCAACCACTTAACACCTTGATGGACCAAAGAAACAACAGGCTCCTCTATCTCCACTGAAGGACTCATACAGGAGATATTATGTACCTAGTCATCAGGCTTTACACTCCTTTGATCAAAAGATGAGCTGATAGACATTTGAATTTCCCTTTGGGGATGAATAAAGTAATTCTTATCTAATACATGTATCATTCTAATTCATGATATCTACATTTGGTCAAATATATAAGTACATTCTTCACACTCTTGTCTGTATAAAAACATTCTGGCCATACTATACTATGATTTGCTCTGATATGATTAAATGATTAAAAAGTCCTCCAACCCAAACGAACATATAGGTTGCAACATCTTTACTTTTTATAAACAAAGATCATCTATATGTAATGCAATTATTAATTCGACTGTAGTAGATATTTAATATATACAACAAATTTTACGACCAAAAATACCCCCAAAAACCCCCAAAAAAGAAAAAAAAAACCCCAAAAAAAAAAAATCAAAAAAAAAAAAAAAAAAAAAAAAAAAAAAAAAAAAAACAAAAAAAAAAAAAAAAAAAAATATATACTAGTAGTTACTAGTTCAGCTCTACCAGATATTTGATATATTCAGTAAAAAAATGTTTCATATCCGTTTTCACAATACCCAATTTACGACCCAGAACTACCGCCCCCAAAACGCCATTTCTAAGATATTAGTGATAGAAGCAATAAAGCAACGACTGTACTTTTTCTTAACATATATCATTTACAGCGTGATTATCAGTTCGGCTCTACCAGATATTTCATAAATTCAGAAGAAATATAATTTTACAACCCTACTTTATGACACAAAACTACCCCCCAAAACCTAGGATATAAGCAAATATAGCAGGAATAAAGCAACTTATGCCTTTTTTAACATAGATTATCTAGATACAGTCTGATTACCACTCTGTACCAGATATTTCATATCTTTAAATATAATTTCATAACCCTAGAAGAGCCATACTTGAAGCTTTCTATAAGCACCAAGTTCAAGGTTTAAAGGTTAATATTTTAAAGCAGGCGCTATGTAGAGTCTTCATACTGATATATGTTATTCTTCAGGCCGAGACCTTTCCAATGATGTATTTGGTTTAGCTCTATGACAAAGTTTTAACTTTCACATTTCATGGACCCAAGCCATCACAGGCTTAGTTTGTAAGAGCACTTTGAAGGACCAGTGGATAAAATGAAGCTCTTGTTTATTTGTTTGTTATTTATTAGTGGAATTAGGGACCACAATTAGTCACTTTAGGAGATTGTAATACTGATGACAATCTAGGGCAGTACTAGAGGTTTTGAAGAAGGCCTGAAGTGCTTGATTTAGGGTTAAAACCATTCTTAGTCATACATAAGCTATTAACACAACCCTGGATATTTTTTGTTTTTTTATGATTATGCAACAGCAGGGGTTGGATGTAATGCCAAATGGAAAGCCCAGTTTGATTAAATATATGAAAGTGACAAGTGCAAAGATATAGAGATTTAATGCACACGCATGGAGTGTGCGTCTCTATTGAGGAAGACTTTTAAGCTGCATGTACAAACGACCTATAGGGTCGTTTTTTGGGGGAAGGACAGCCTCTTAAAATAATGTGTAATGTGTCCAATCAATCACATAGTGATTTTTTCTCATAAGCTTTTTGACTTAATAAATTCTTATTGCAGATTTTGTTTGTCAACAGTAACAGTGCATCATATAAAGTAAGGTGCTGCTTAGGGATACAAGACCAAACATTTTTATATGACAGCAAATAGCCCACTACTACTACTACTAATGATAATAATACCAATAGTAACTGTTGTTTATTTGTGTCTATAGTCTACCAAAAATAAATAAATAAAATAACTGGAATACAGTGTTACAAATAGAAAAAAGAAAATTTCACACATTTTATTTTCATAGACATTAACAACACTTCAGGATGAACAAGTTTACAAGCACTGCAACACATTTTTATGCATACCTCATGTAATGCTATGACAAACTACTTCCTTTAGTTGGTACAGTAATGACTGCAAACACTACACTCACGACTCAACTATTGTTATTGATCATATGCATGTTTTGGAAAGTATTTTATGTAGTGACATGTACATAAGTGGCTCACTCCAAAGATTAGTCACACTGTCACCATGAATGACATCATACTGGAGCACACAGTATGAAATATATTCATTAGTGGCACGAGTATAAATTCCTTTATATGAGGCCAGGCATTGATAACACACTTTAAAAAATCCCTACAACAGAGTGCATTACAATAAAAAGATGCAGCATTTGAGTCCCAGGGCACTCGGTTCTGTTGGGGCCAGGCCTCAGCAAGGTCCCAGGGCCTGGCTTCAATACAAGTTGGAACTTCTCATCCACATCGGCAAGCCTTTCTGAAGAAGACACTGTAGCCCACAATGTCCCACTTTGCTTAACCTTCCTATAAGGAAAAATAATTTAAGTGGGTTTGTGATGTTCAACTAGACCTTTACTCACTCCACAGAATAAGTACAGAATATAATTACATTCTGCCACAAGGAATTCAAAACACTACTAGACACTTCTTCTGATCAGTATGAAGTCTGAACCTATCCTATCAAGTTAGGGTTGAGTCAGAGATTACTGTGGCAGGGGAAATGTCACTCACAAAAATCAATAGGATTGTTCCTGTAGTGGTCATGAATTTGGACAGTAAATTTAACATGTGTAATGTTCCAAACCAAGATCTGTAGTGGTGGTACAAGTGTGGTACATGGGTACAAATCCATAGTGTGCCCCAAACCGTAGCTGCAAGGAGATAAAAGTTAACCTACCACTGGTCCTGACAGTGGACATTTCTGACATCTTTGTCCTGATGTTCTCAGCCAGACCTCTGAGGTAGGTGCAGCGCTGTCTCATCTCCCTCACCACAATGACCCTTTCTTCCTGAAGCCTCATTTTTGACATGTATGCATCAAAAATCTTCTTCTTTGTGAGGATATTGCTGGATTCTGAAGTAATACAAACAACATTCAATCAAAACAACTTTGAGCTGTACATACATACACAAAAAGTGTAGATCCATATGGCAACAAGTATTTGAAAAGTATAGAAATGACACTCAAAGACACCACAGCTGCCCAAACATTACAGAATTAACACTGTAAAGTGAGCAAGATCTTTTGGGTGGCATACCTGTATGTATAGAGTAGCATATACGTCAAATCTTGAGTTTGTTCAATCATGATCACAGACTCACAATCACTTTAGAGAAAAATGGTCCCATACCACTGCTGTGCACTTCCCATGGCCATATCTGCCCCAGTGTCTCCTCCAACCACAGAGCGTCTGCTCTCCACCTTCACCACCTCGATCTGCTCCTCATTAGACACCTCTCTTCCCTCAATTTCCTTCTACGCAAGTGTCGAATTTTGTTGCTATCTATAAAGTTAGAAACCACAGAAATGTGGCACATATGTGTGTATGCAGACATCGGATGGTAGAAATATTACATGCGTTTTCAACATACCAGTTTGAGTATAAAGGCTGGCTTTTTTCTGATGAACACTAAGGAACATTTGTTCAATGGACAGCTGAAGATTCTGCTGGTCATCGCGTTGGGTTCCTAGAGAATCTTAATAAAAACAACAACAATAAAAATATAAGTAAACATTTCATATTTAATTTAGGTAGTGCATTGAAAGAGCTCAAAGCCATCTTCCAGCCTCCGAGACTCTTCTTGAGCCTTTTAGAAAGTCGACAGTAAAATAAATAAACAAACTTTGCCATCTTCTTAAAATCTTAGAAAGGTGAGGAAAATCATGAAAAGCATAGTATGAGATAATCATGTTGTCAGTCATGTTTTCCAACCACATTTACACACAGAACTAATATTGTTTGTCAGCTTTGTCACATGGCATCTGGTCAATACCTTGACATATCTGCTGGATAAAGCAAGATGAAGGCCATCCTGCTTCCGTTGGTTCCAACCAATGGCGTGGATCGTTAGCATGTCATTCCGGGCTTTAAAAGAACATACCTTGCAAGGAGGAAAGTCCCATTAATGGTCATGGTACATGCATTCACAAGCTTTAATTTAAGACAAATAGAAGGGAGTTTTATTAATGCATTATAATATTAGAAAAAATAATTAATAATATCTCATACTGTACAAAGTCTTAGAATGAAAAGAAGAAAGGATAAAAGACTAGAATGTAATATAAATCAGGAATACTTACCAGATTTCATCATGTACTTAGTTGTGAGAGCACATCGAGAAAGGAAGCTGTTCACCATTTCCACCTCCTCCCCGGCAGTTGTTCCAGCACCCTCCTGATTCCTGCCACTCCATGTGAGCTAACAAATCACAGGAAAACCTGTCATATATATTATTTAAGTACTGAAGCAGTTACACTTGTTTTGATTATGAATATGTAGTACCTCACACTTGGTGGAATGGGCCTTAGCATGCATCACAGAGAGGAATGGCCTCATCTGTAGCAAAGGTCTGAGGTCCACCATGGACACTGCCAGCTTCTCCAGGTAGGGCCAGTATTTGCATGCAATGTCTGTGCAGTAGAACAGCCCATTTGTGGCTGCCTGAAGGAAAAGGGGATAGGCAAATATTTCCCCCCTGTACATTTTGAGAGCCTTGAGCAGCACTCCATGTCTGCAAACAACCACTTCAAGGCCCTCTTCATCTAGCTTGCTTGCTCTTCGGGCAGTCTCTCGTGCAGCAGACCACTTACTGGCTCCACAGATTCCTCTGCCAGCAGTCTAGATGATAAAATATTCTGGTTAAAACTGAGATGTGCCATTTCCTTAACTTACATACTTTTATATTATATTAACAGACAACAACTGACCTTGAAGAATACTAACACTATTAAATAATGTAAAAGGTATATATCTCAAAAGTTTGGCCATATAATGTATTTAGATAACAGTGCAAATACTACTAACACTTTTCATTTTGCTCTGGACGTCCTCAACAAAATGATGTACGTCACAATCCTTGGCAATGAAAGTGCCATCAAAATATGGCTCCTCTGACCTTAATGAGATAAGAAAAAAAAAAAAAAGATTATGTTCATGGGTCTCAGACATTATTTATTCAGCTAATTTTAAAAAGTGTAAATTAACTCACCCCTTTGACTGTCGAAATCTGTATTGTTTTCGGTTGCCATCTGCACAGAGAGCCAGCATGTTTGGTGTACATGCAGGACAGGTGTTTATCACAGACCATTTTGTCACACTGGAACTGGCAGAATGTATACTCCATGAAGCTTCTCTGGAATATGTCTCCATGTATTTTCCCAGCCTGTCAATTTGTAAAAAGTTACATGAAATAGCTAAAGTAATATTCTCCAATCTCTGCAACTGTCATCAACACTGAACCTACCCTTCCAAAGTGAGAAGTTCTCCTCTCTAACATCCGCAAAAAAGCTTGCCTGGACAAACTGGGTGCAACAGTTTTCATTTCTTCAAATGTGCTGAAGACATCAACTGAAAACAACGTCTCAGCATTTCCAGTTGCTGGCCAGTAGCCACTCTTTATAAGGTCGCTTCTGTCAGGTGTCCACTGTGCCAGGTACAATCTGCAAAACAACTTTGGCATGTGCAAATCATACTGACCTAAAAACAAAAAGAATTACAATAAATATGTGGTTATTTTGAGACATACAACTTAGCCAAAAAATAAATAAATTGATAGTCCATACCATTTATGCAAACCGTGATAACTGTTCTGCCAGCTGACTCTGTAATGTTTTCAGGGTCACAGGTGCATAGCTGGGAAGGTCTCACTGTAGGCAACAGTCGCACTGAAAAGACAGGTTCAGTAACTAGGGAGAAGACTTAAAAATGTATCCAATTGAGATTATTATCTAAACTAAAAGGTCAAACATAACTTTAAGCACTTTACCAAAAGAATCAGAAGAATACCTTGATTGACCAGACAGTATGTGCCATCCTTTTCTACGCAGCACACTGTTGGCTCAATGGGCTTGTAAATCCCATCAATGCAAGACTCCCTGTTATGTAGTGTGAGATTAAAATGTATGTGTATGTCACATTCCATACACAGCCACTCCTCTGGAATGCAGTCTCTGCAGCGAATTAGAGCAGGGGAGGTGCAGTGACAGCACTTCCTTTTTGGGACCTCATTGCAGGACAGCAAACAGTTCAGGTGATGGGACCGTGCTTTCCGCCACTCATCTTGGGCAGCAGACTGAAGCTAGCACCATGATGTGGAGGTTGAAGCTGCTCTTCCATATTCTGAACATTCGCTGTGGTCAGAATGTCCTTTAAGCTCTGCATCTCAGTGTCTTAAACACAGATATAATAAATATAATATAATATAATATAATAATAAACATTAAATAATAAACATTCCTACACTCGGGCAGCTGTGGCTCAGAGGCAGAGCGGGTCGTTCCTTAATGGGAAGGTTGTGGGTTTGATCCCCGGCTTCTGGTGCCACATGTCGAAGTATCCTTGAGCAAGATACTGAACCCCTAATTGCTCCTGATGTTGTGCATCAGTGTGTGAGTGTGTATGAACGTTAGTTTCTGTTTGATGGACTTTGCCATCACTGTGTGAATGTGTGTGAAAGGGCGAATGTGGCGCGTAGTGTAAAAGTGCTTTGAGTGGTCGGAAGACTAGAAAGTCGCTATACAAGTACAGGTCCATTTACTATTTACACACTGTGTCCTAACTTAATTACACTTAATAATTAAATACTTAATTAAAATTAAGTATCATCTTACCAAATACATATTGACAACGGGTGTCTTGGGTCACTGTGGGAACCTCCTCAGCAGGCTCAAAAGAAGCAGAGGCCTCCTTAGGCGCAACAGAAACTGAAAAGATTGATAAAAAGGAAAGACAAAAAAGTCAATCTGTATAGATTATACAGTATGTATTGTAACATAGCGGTAATAAGGCTGCACAGTTAAATCTGGATTCTGAGCCTCAATTTTTGATAACCAACAGCATTATAATGAAGTACTGTAGTGCTGCAGATATATCTAGTTCTACACATATCACAAAACGTGTTTGGTAATGAGTTTGAAAATGACAATTTGATCCAACTAATTGTGAATTACATGGGAACCACAGTCAAATAATTGTAATATGATTTTTTTAACCATATCGTGCAGCCCTAGACTGACATTTTAATAATAAAACTCTCTTCACTGTGTTTGTAGGGACATTCCTGCACTAGGGCACAGCTTGTGAGAGTTGTATGTTGTGTCAACCACACTGAAAAATAAAATGAATAGGTCTGACTGGAGGTCCATGACTCTGAACTTGAAGAGCTTGGTCCAGATTGCCGGTAGTAAGTCGGACTCGTTTCCAGTGGGGGTTGGTCTCCGCCAGGGCTGCCCTTGTCACCGATTCCGTTCATAATTTTTATGGACAGGATTTCTAGACACAGCCAGGGCGTTGGTGACCTCAGGATTGGGTCACTGCTTTTTGCAGATGATGTGGTCCTGTTGGCTTCATCAGACTGTTCAGCGCTGAGTGTGAAACGGCCGGGATGAGAATCAGCACCTCCAAATCCGAGTCGATGGTTGGCCTGCCCCTAGTGGAGGAGTTCTCGGTACCTCGGGTCTTGTTCACGAGTGAGGGAAGGATGGTGCGGGAGATCGGACTCTGCACAGATCCGTCGTGGTGAAGAGGGAGCTGAGCCAAAAGGCAAAGCTCTCAATTTACCAGTCGATCTTCATTCCTACCCTCACCTATGGTCATAGCTTTGGGTAGTGACCGAAAGAACAAGATCACGGGTACAGGCGGCCGAAATGAGCTTCCTCCATAGGGTGGCTGGGCTCTCCTTTAGAGATAGGGTGAGAAGCTCGGTCATCTGGGAGGAGCTCGGAGTAGAGCCGCTGCTCCTCTGCGTTGAGAGGAGCCAGATGAGGTGGCTCGGGCATTTAGTTAGGATGCCTCCCGGACGCCTTCCGCCACGTCCCACTGGTAGGAGGCCCTGGGAAAGACCAAGGACATGCTGGAGAGACTATTTCTCTCAGGGAACGCTTCGGGATCTCCATGCGAGGAGCTGGACGAACTGGCTGTGGAGAGGGAAGTCTGGGCTTCCCTGCTTAGGCTGCTGCCCCCCCGACCCGACCCCGGATAAGCGGTAGAAGATTCTTTGCACTTGAGGATCAAAAGACATAATCTGGAAACAGATCTAACTGACACAAATCTCAGTCTCCTTAACAGAAGAATGGGACAACACAGTGGGGAACTTGACTCCATATCTTTGCATTTGTTTAGCATAACAGTAGTTGACATTTGAGCTTATGTAGTGTAAAGATGGTTCTGGTCCTGGAAAATATATTTTAACAAATGTAACAGATCCAACCTGTGGCCTTTTTGGTCTTGATTCGCACCATAGACAAATAGAAAGGAAATAGACATACAGTGGAAAACCCACCCTGTTCGGTGGTCTATGTTTTAAATGTGAAAAAACTCACATCAGGGTGTACATTAGCTGAATTTTAAATACTATGGACACAGTTACTTGTTATTACTCATTTGATTAGGGTAATGACAAGTTATCTTGCAAGACATGAACTACCTGTAGCCGATGCACGTTTTTTCCATGTCTCTCCACTTCTGCTTCTTTTTAAGATTCGACGTCCATCTGCATCTCTCTCCACCCATCGGACAGTAGGCTTACTGCCTTTAGCAGTGTAGTGGATGCTGATTTTTTCTTTGCCTCCCTTTCCTTTCATGAAAAAGCGAGCATTGTATGATAACATTAAAATTCAGAACACTTACAAATTGCCATGTTTTATTATTATCACAAATCCTCAAGACTCACTTTATATTCAGCCAGTAACTTTTCTGCTAGGAAAAGAGCATCCGCTGCCTTCCCACTGCCCCACGGAGCAGCCATTTTTTTTTTTTGTGATCAATTTTTTATTGGCACCATTTATATCATTCAGACATACAGAATAAATTCCACAATGTATAACAGCTGTGTCAAATGGTGTAAAAAAAAACCAAAAACACAAAAACCATCTCCCACCCCCTACCCTCTGCGGTCACAAAAAAAAACAAAACAAAAAAAAAAAAAAACAGAAATCACACCTTGCCTAATCACTCCCCTCTAGTTCTTGTGGCACTGAGGTCATTAGGTCTGATATTTGTGCTGCTGCGGTTTTCCATAGGTTAATAGTTGATGATTTTGGCTTTGCAAAGCGAGTGAGGAGGGAGCCAACGTTGAGCTATCATTTTCTTGGTTGCAGTTGAGCCGGCTAGCCAAATTTTCCTCTGTCTCTCAAGCAGGTGTAATGTAGAATCATCATTAAGCAACAAAACAATCGGGTCAGTAGGAATTAGACATCCTATCACATCAGATATTATTGATGTTGTTTTATGCCAGAACTCATGCACCTGTTCACATTCCCAGATCATATGCAGGTTCCAGTTTGTTCAGGTCGACAGAAGGTACAATAGGGAGTGGGAGTGGCTTTAGAGACGTATCTCATCTGAGGAGTCCAATATGTCACGGATCAGCCATTTGAGGCAGACGCAGACAAACAGACAGATAAACAAACAAACAAATATATACATATATATGAGAGAGAGTGAGAGAGAGAGAGAGAGAGAAAGAGAGAGAGAGGGGTGTGTGAGCGTGTGTGAGAGAAAGAGAGAGAGAGAGCGAGTGCAGTAGAGGAGTGGCTCTTAAAAGAGCCGTTGGTTGACTATAGCAAAAGCCAAGGAGAGGTAAAGGTAGGAGGGGTATGGGCTGGAGCTGTTGGACAGAAAAAGATAAAAACATGGTCAATTATCTTGCAGCAAGTCTTTTTGGATTTCACAAAGGGCGAATACTGAATTCTTAGTCATCTTCAACGTGTCAACTACAAGCATGCTAGCAAAACACAGTGGATATTGTGGACAATACAGATCTACAGGATTGTGCTGAAGACTGGAGAGACATTAATACACTGGACACAGAGAGGCTCGTCTGAGCATCGATTGCCTGCCTCCCGTCGCTATAGCAAGCTATTAAAAAAAAATAAATATTATATATATATATGTAAAAATAAAAAAAACTTTGACCCATACAGAATAATTAGTGTCTCAACCCACTACCATTTATTATGAAGCCATTTGTCAAGGAAGTCCTCTAATGCTTGTGCACACGTACATATAACATTAACTCCATAGGCAGGCTAAAACATCATTAGCACTGTTTAAAAGGACCTTGGCTGA